GGTCACCCGAGCCAAAGTCGGTATCTTTTGCCCGAAAAACATCCTAAATCTTAACACCGTTGCCAGCATCTCTCCTATTCCCCCCACCTACCGGAGCGCACTTAAAGATCCAAATTGGTTAAAGATCCAAATTGGTACAATGTTATGTTAGATGAATATAATGCTTTGATTGCTAATAATACATGGGATTTAGTACCACCCTCCCCTAACCAAAACATCATCTCTGGAAAAATGGCTTTTTAGACACAAACTTAGCCCCACAGGTGAACTGTCAAGGTACAAAGCTCGATGGGTTGTTCGCGGTTTCAATCAGCGGCATGGGATTGATTATGATGAGACATTCAATCCCAGTGGTCAAGCCCGCGACTATACAGATTATCCTCAGCCTGGCAGTCTCTCGTGGGTGGCCAACTCATCAACTGGATGTCAAAAATGCCTTTCTACATGGAGATCTCATAGAGACGGTCTACACCGTGCAGCCATCTGGTTTTCAGGACCCGTCTCAGCCTCATTATGTCTGCAAACTGAACAAGGCGCTCTATGGACTGAAGCAAGCTTCAAGATCTTGGTACCAGCGCTTCACCACCTTTCTACTTTCTCTTGGGTTCCGTGGCTGCAAGAGCGACACCTCCTTGTTCATGTTTAGCCAGGGGTCTCAGATGGCATTTCTCCTACTCTATGTGGATGACATCATCCAGCGGTTAAAGGGTGAGTTTGCTAGGACTGACATGGGGGGATCTTCACTTCTTCCTCGGCATTAATGTTCAGCGCACCACCCATGGTCTGTTTCTCACACAGACACAGTTCCTGTATGACATATTAGATCGGGCAGGCATGCTTTCGTGCAAACCAGTTTCCACCCCGGTTGACACACTGGGAAAGATATATGTCGGCCTCCGGAGGTTCACCTGCCGCGGACCCCTCACTGCACCGGTCTATGGCGGGGCACTGCAGTACTTGACTTTTACTCGTCCGGATATCACTTATGCAGTCCAGCAGCTCTGCCTCTTCCTCCATGCCCCACGCACGTCCCACGTCACCGCCATGAAGCGGGTCCTCCGGTATCTCCATGGCACACCTTCACACGGCATCTCCATCACTCCGTCGCCAACGGATCACATGCGTGCCTACTCAGATGCTGACTGGGCTGGTTGCCCTGACACTCACCGGTCCACATCCGGATATTGCATCTTCCTTGGCGACAACCTTATCTCCTAGTCCTCTAAGCGCCAACTCACCATGTCCAGATCTAGCGCCGAGGCCGAATACAGAGCCGTAGCAAATGCCGTGGCCGAAGTCAGTTGGATCCAGAACCTTCTCCTCGAGCTTCAGCAGCCCCTCACACGATCCACACTCGTCTTCTGTGACAACATCAGCGCAGTCTACCTATCTGCAAATCCTGTCAAGCATCAGCGCATGAAACATATCGAGGTTGACATTCATTTTGGTCGTGACAAGGTAGCTCTTGGACAGGTTCGCGTAATTCATGTCCCTTCGTCACTTCAGTACGCTGACATCTTCACGAAGGGCCTTCCATCCATCATCTTCTCTGAGTTCCGGGATTGCTTGGGCGTTCAGCCTTCTCTACCAGCGTCGTCGGGAGCATGTTAAATATATT